GCACTTGAATGCGCCCGTGTAGTGCCATCACTCTGCACTTGAACGCCTCGCAAGATTGCCGTCGGGCGGCAAAACATGCACCCTCTGCTAATTAGTTGAGGGTGACTAATAAGGAATTTAGTGCCGGTACCTATACGTGAAATTATTAGGAAACATTGTGCAGAACGTGTCAGCTCTGTAGCCGGTTTTCCAACGTTTTGACTGGCTACACAGGTGAAGACTGGAGCTGTTGCACAACTAATTTCGTCTATATATATATATATTACCAGCTGAACATAAAGGAAGGACTAGAGAGAGAGATAGAAAAGGCATGCACACCGCTGGCATGTTCTTTTATCTAATCCTTCCGTTATGTTCAGTTGGCACTATATATAGCAGTGAACTAACTAGCTCAGCTTCAAGCCGTCAGATAATTTCGTCTGCTTTGTCTATATCAATTGCAAGGAGATTTTCACCTGGCGCGAAGCGCAGTCCACAAACCCCTAGTTGGTACAAAGATTTTCTGCCAAGATTAGGGAGTTTTAGCGAGTCGTTTCCACAAATGGGTATGTTCTTGAACGCATCGCCGACGTCACTGCGCATGCGCGCGCGAGTTGTTGGGAGTTTTGGGAGGCTCTTCTCGTTCGTTTCTCCCTCTCCGCACTCTAAGAAAAAAGGGAGGAGAAAGGTAGCAAAAGCGACTGTTCCTCCTTGTTGCGGACAAGTTGCCCAGAGAAGGGAGGAACGGCAGTTCAGATGAAAGGAGGAGGGCGAGTTCCTCCTTGTTCAGTTGGCGCAGGGGTAGAACATCGCGCTACTGACCAAGTGGTCAACGGTTCGATCCCCAGGAAAGTGGGTTTTTTTTTTTTTTTTGTAAAGTTTTTTTTTTTTATTTTTGCTTACCAAAACACACATAAACAAACCCAGACCGATGAAAGGAAAATTAAAGTCCTTATTATTCTCCGAGACGTTTTCCTCCTCCAGGCAGACCGGAGAAAGCTTTCGCCCTCCCGACCCATCTTCTTTCGGTTTCGTTTTTAGAGCACATCGCGCACGTTGTTTAATAAATTAATGTTGAGTTGATTGAGCTTCAGCGGCAGCGAAGGCCGCCTGTAATTCCGTCTTCTAGTCCAAACGTGCAAAACATTTCGGTTGCATTGACGTTTTTACCACTAATTTTATCAAACGAGCTAACGAAGCCGCTAGAAACAGCGAAGTTCCGGAGCAGTGCCAGCAGCGCTACATACACTGGGTAAGACGGCCGTCTCCGGTAATTTGCGGGACACACGCGGAACTACAGCAGCGAAACCACGAGGAACTGTGTCGACGTTTTCGACGTTATGGAAATCGCGGGAACTGCGTCCAAGGAAGGCAGGTTTTCCTGCCGGCTGCCTGGGTGCCTTCCGTGCTGAGTTCGGTTCCGTTGTCCCGTGCCGAGTGCCAACCGGTGTTCAACGTGATTCTTCTGCGTGTCAGCAACATCGTCAACGTGGTTCTGTATTTCTTCGTGTCAGCGACATCGTGATGGCAGTGTTGTGGGTTGTGAACAGAAGACTGGAATTATCGCCGATGTGTCCGTGTGTTCGCGTATCAGTGGTGTAACAACAAGATGAGATGACGTAAACTGTCGGGCATTGATGCCGCTATTCGGGCCGTTATCGGAGGGGCCGGGGTGTCGCAGGATGACATTCCGCTTTACAATAAAGAGTTTAAAACCACTTGAGGGATTAGGTGCAGTCGATCGACGTGTGGATAGTCATGTTGGAACGCTGGTCTGGACGGTAAGCTCCTATCGTACAGTCGTACAGTGGCCAATGTGACTGTCGGTCCCCGAGAGCGATTGCGCTCTGGGGAAAAGACAACACTACGAAAGTATGACGGAAAGTACGTATATTTATAATGGAAGTTTAGCATAAAAAAAAAAGACAGGCAAAATCGAAAAAAAAAAAAAACGCTATCCTTTATTTTACTGTTTAAATATATTACGTTTCCTGTAGAAACTGCCCTCTAAGTGGCGCGCTGGGATGAGCGCTAGAAGTTTTCGAGCTCGCAACGGCGCAGCGACTTGCAGTCAAAGCCGCAAGTCGCGGCTTTGACTGCATTCAAGTTGATCGAAAAGCGATTTCTGTGCCCGTGAAGCATCTCTTCCAGCTGAGTGGATATCCGCTCTACAGAGATTAATTCAAGACGGCAATTGCAGCTTTGCGCGAACAGCACAAATAGAAAAACGAACACTACAATATAAATACTGGCTACGAAGGGCCATGCGGGAAAACAAACTCATGGCTTGGAACCACATTGGAGCGGCTCGATTTATTGGCTTTCAAATAATTATGGCATGATCGAGCGTCTTCTTTTTAATAAGAGATTCATCCCCTGAGCCATTAAAAATAGCCTCAGATGTATGACATTGCTGGAAAAAAATGAACATGTTCGGAATATTTTGTTTTGCTTAGGGAGTCACCGAAAAATTCCGTACGCTCAAAACGACCACTATAAAAGACGGAAACGCAGGGCTCGGTAGTAGTGATCGGGGTAGTGTGCTGTTGTATTGATGTTTGTATGTGCGATGCCTGTGTATGCGTTCAATATATGTTGACCTGATGTTTGTAGTGTGCGCAACGTGTCTACATGTGTTAGAGATTCCGATGAAAAGGAAATGCAATTGTGGCGTAAGAAAATAAAAATATTTTTTTGTAAAACATGAATTGGGCGGTACCTAGCGCCACCTAGCCTAGCTACATGCGATTACTCTGCTTGACCCTGCCATCTGGTGGCAAGCGATTTAACATCCTTTTACGCTACGCGGCTACGCCATAATTTCGTGTTACCGTGCTGAGATAAGCCAAGAGGTTGCTTCGGATTTGCTTTTATTTGAGAGCGGCTTTTGGTTTTGCGGGCGAATGATTTTCACTCCTCCGTGATGTGCGGTTGACGCTACGGTTGACGAAGGAATTGCGGCTCGAGGAATAGCAAAGGTAGGACATAAAGTGCGGGAATTGAGTGCCGGTTGTCTCCGTTGAACATCGCAGTGCTGACGATGAGAAGACTGAGTGACTGCATGCTTTCGAAACGTAAGTTTCTTTACCTGCAGGGGTAAAGAAACTTCGGAAATAAATACAGTTCGCGGAAAGCTCGTGTTACGTTTTTATTTCCTGCTCCTCTCGCTTCGTGCAATAGACTTAGTGTTCTCGTTAAGCCTTACCGAGCTCGATTTGCTCGATTCGTGGCCGCCATAATGAGATGCAGTCGACAGAGGAACTTTTCCTCCCCTGCTTAAGGGACGAAAGTTTCTCCCTTTCTGAAGGAACATATGTGTCAAGAGCGTTCCTCCCTTTAGGGAGGACTATACTGACCCTTTTTTCTAAGAGTGCGGTTGCTGGAGTCGTCACCGAAACGCAGCCAGCACCGTTTCCTACACGGACAAAAAAAAAAAAAAAAATGGCGGTCGCTTTGGGGATTAACCCAGCCGACCCAGCCGAGCGTTAGGCTTAGGACAGCTGAAGGCGATTTGTCGCCCTGTCACTCAGCTTCGTTTGAGAGGTTGAAGCTAATCATTTCGAGGACTCCTCACAATGGTAAGCGATCGTGAATTCGGTAAACTACGCATGCTAGTAAATTTTTGCGTGGGCTGACTAGCTGTCGTGGCGAACGCGAGCAGACGAAATTATTTTATTCGACGGCGCACAACGTGAGCGATCGTTTAAGTTCAAGATGACGGAGACGTAGCAACTACCTTTGCGCTCGTTCATACAATTCTTACTCTATCTAGCCTCGCGGGTCTTGAAATTCCGACCGGTATAGGTTACGTCGGCCGCCTTGTCTACATCAGCCTGAAACACGACCCTCCACGAATTTGCACGCTGCAGAATGCTTCACATGTTTACTAGAAGATGGCGCTGCCGGTCAAACGCAATCATCATTATCGCTTACAAGGTTAAACCAGTTTCACGATTCGTGAAAATACGTTAAAATTCACGTACTGTTTTACGGAACGGTTTAGTTACACCATTCATGATTTCGGAACCGTGTGCTTCAAAAACAACTTGCTAAAACTCCCTATTGTGCTGGCGTATCCGTCGGAGCCATATGTGACGCCGGCAAACAGATTGCTCGAGCGCCGCCTTGTCATAGTTCCTAATAATTGCTGGAATTATAAAAAAAAGAATTAAACTAATTTTGTTGGCGTGCATATATAGCTCCATTTTGTTGCTGACTGTCACGGCTTAAACATTTATTTACGGCGCAATTGACCATTTTAATCCTCAAGTGAGCGGACAAACTACAGCGTGAACGCAGCCCCAAAGCACACAAAACATAGCATGACAGCGGCGAATGCCTCCCACATGGATTCCGGTGGGTTCCGGCGGCATTTCTGAACCGGAAGAAGAGTTGCACCATTATTTCGTGCATAAACCCTCTAGGCTATCTCGATCTACCTGCACCTCCTGCACCGGTGCATAAAGTCTAGGGCAGTGCACTTCCGGTATGTGTATTGAGTTACAACCGGAAGAAAAACAACGTACACTTTGCTGCGCCGGTGCAGGGGGTGCAGGTAAATTGAACGAGCCTAAAGCGCCGTTCACACTCTTGCGACCGAGTAAGACCGAGAGAGACCGGACCGGTTTTTAAGCCTTTTGCGACTTCTTAGGACCGGATGCACTGCAGCGGAGCTGGTCCTAAGAGATCGCAAGAGGCTTGAAAACCGGTCTCGTCTCTCTCGGTCGTACACGGTGTGAACGGGCCTTAATGTATGTTATTCATGGAGGTAGAAAGATTCTGGAGGCGACACGACACTCTAAGAGGGGGAGCCGGGGAGACTTCCGGTTTAGAGGGACACGAACCCAACGATGATTAAAACCAAATGACGCTATTGGACGGGGAGAAAAGTTGATTTGGACCCAGCAGCCTTTTTGGTCACCCTTGGAGGCATTTCCACTGATTGCGGCGCCTTACCGTTTCATTCGAAATTTCCACATTTGGCTGACTCAAGGCGGTATGTCGCCTCCATTTGTTCTTACCTCCATGATGCTATTTTACTGTGGTCACGGTCGGTAGCTGCTTTCGAAAGAGCAGGACGTTCAAATATGCCATTGAGGGCCTCGGCTTTGCCCCATTGCTTTTTTACTTCGTGAAGAAATCCGAATACGGGACACCGAGCTGGTGATCAATTTGAAGCTGGCCCCTCTGCCGAGACCTCAAATCCAACGGTGACTATCTCCAATAGGGTGACAATTTTAATGGTGTTTATCTTTATATGCATGGCATTTAGGGTAAGCTCATGGCGCTTTCGTGTATACTCTGGGATGTAGCCTCGATAGATCGTGCAGCGCGGAGCGTGCAGTCGCCGATTACACGTTCCGTGTACAATCGGCGATCGTCCCTGGAGCGGAAGCTTTCCTCAATCTGCAGTAAGTGGCAGCAAAGCAGACTAGACGTACAAAATACAAGAAAGGCTCTTGCTCGTGGGCTTTGTACCACCACCAAAGCGGCGTAGGAGCGACAACGATCAGCACAGCAAGGTAACAAGGGAAGAGCCATGGACGCGGCTGCGAAACGAGAGCGCCATGCCCAGCGGCGACGGCGAGAGCTGCCATTACACAGCGGCCGATCGGCAGTTCCAAAGCAATTCACGAACAATCTTTTTTTTGTGTGTGTGTCTGTTTTTGTAAATATATGTTTCTACTAGTCAACGGTGTCTCCCAGTCTCTCTCACTCTTTTCTCCCCAGGCGAACGGGACAGGGGATATGCCATGAGTCGTATTCTTCTTCACTGCAGCCTATTTCCTGCCCGAAAACCAACATACCTCGTTGTTTTGGTGGCCCCTTTCTTTCCCCTATACTGCAGAGGGAGGGTGGCGGGGGTGTGGTCATTTCAGCGCTCGCCTCCACACGCCCCGCACAGCAAAGTCATCCCAGTCCCGCGACACAGCCCGTGCCATAAGATCATCGAGTCGCGGAGCATCCATTCGGCCAAAGATGAGTTCATCGCCCATTGAGGAACCCCGAAGAGCGGCGCTGGGAGGGCGGCACCGCGACGGCGTCCCTTGGCGGGACGGTGCCTCGATCGATACCGGGGCGCCGTCCCACGCGAGAATGGGCGCCCGGCTGCTGGCGGTTCCAAGGACGGGGGCACAAAGTCTCGGCCAACAGCCGGTGGGCACGTCGAACGACCAGTGACCCACGGTGGGCGCTTTCTAGCAGGCTATAAAATGCTGAAAGCGCAGTGGAACAAGGTCTAGAAAGGAGGCAGTCAGAGCGCTGGTTTGTTGGTCATCGACAATAAAAATGCTGGTCTTCCTTCTGGCCCTTGTTCCTTGGAGCTTTCAGTATTCTTGCGATGTACCAATGGGTCAACCATCCTACCTTACTGGTCAGCAAAGTGGCAAGAACGAACACACTTGTGGATGGCGCAAATTCTGCCGTGACGTGGTTCAAACTGCCACGGCATCCTGCCACGGCGCTAATCGCAAAGAAAAGGCGAGAACCTAGGCCACGTAGCGAAGTTAAACGACATGTAAACGTTCCGGGATGAAAAAAAAAAAAAAATATATATATATATATATATATATTTTTTTTTGTGTGTGTTTTCGACTTCTTGGTTTCATACTGTAAAAATTGTAAAGTTGTGCTAACGCCCTCTTTTACATAATGTCCAACAAGGAGCACTTTTAAGGATGAATGAATTCATAAATTGATGAAAAAAACTCACACCAAAGACACCGCTTCGAGCGCAATTTTGGATGATCGAAACCCCATCGCTTAGTGTGACTGTGGACCAATAAACGGCAAAGCCACTTCCTTGTGCATTGTGGCGCGTCGCTATATTACCCTCTTTTTTTTTTCTGAAATTCTCCTTTGGTCCTTTTGCTTCTATGAGTGCGAGCTTTCCAAAAAAAAAAAAGAAATATAGCAAAGGGAGACTTTAAATTTCTCATTGTATTCGTAAACAAAGAGTTACTAGTATTTCTTAGTGCAATTTAGTAGGTATCAGGCTCAGCTGCATCACAGAGAAAAGTAAATTGCATAAATATAAAAACAAGGCAAAGCTGAAAGAAAAATATAACAAAAATGCAGAATTGCGAGTCATTATACAAAAAACGTCACGGCAGTTTAAAAATTTTCGTTGTCAGAAATTAGAGCGGTGGATCGAGAAAGTAATGTCACGTTAAAAACGTAGGAGGGCGCGGCGTGAAATAAAACAAATAATGTCGTGAGAGAAAACGCTTGGCAACGGCGGGTAAGGCTTGCTGAAATATTTTTGGCGATTAAACTTATTTAAACCTCCAATTGTTATGATATATCTTCAAAGCAGGAACATACAAATTCATTATAATTTTCTGAGAGAAGAGGCACATGATGAGCTTGCTTACACTGCGCATGCGCTTGAGTTGCAGCGATAAATTGAAAAAAAAAATTCTGGTATTAGGAGATCCGTTAAAGACTATTTCATGATTAAAAAAAAAGTTTCAAAGCTTTGGAGACCTTCTGATTTCAAAATAAGCCATATCCGATTAGATTATCCAACGTAATGACATTAAACGTGAGAATGCAGCTGTCGCGCAATATGCTGATGCACCTCCCTGTATCCGGCACGTCTTCATTTACTGACGCTTGCTGTTTCTAGGGTGACTGATGCGTAAACATACCGTGCCAATTTGTTCGATATGAGCACTGTTGGCTGAAAGGCGTTTTAAAGTTGAGATCGCTTGGTCATTTCCACGTATTCATATATCCTCAGTATGAGTACCTGTGACTCACAATAAAGCTTCTATGGAACAAGCAAGTTGCGAAACATAAAATTCGGGAGCCTCATTTCATCTTGGTATAGTATTGAAAATAATTTTTTTAAAAATGTGCTTTTTGAAGAAGACCACCTCAAACTCAGGATGGGTCGGTCGTTTTGATGTATCCAATCATGCTCAATTTGAACACGCGCGACTCGTCACGGAGCGTTTTGAAAGTCGTCCAGTACCAAACTGGCGGCGACATAAAGTGTGAGGCCCTCGACTACAGCCTGGCCATTATTTGTTATCCTTGAAGGTGTGTCTGTCTCGATCAAAACAGTCTGCATGCGGGGGAGGGGGAGGGGAGGTTCCGTATAGTCTATATGTACAGTCATGTCTCATTAATATGGGCACCTCCATCCATCCCCCCCTTTCCCCCCTCCAAATCCTTCATAATATGAGTCGTTCAAAATAACCACCGAAAAATGCAAGAATTTTCTGATTTCGTCCTCGAAACGCTTGTCATATAACATGTTGCCTTGTTTAACACATATTTATAACCTTGCTCTTTCGTCGGGTGTGTTTCCCACAGGCATGAAAACAGCAAAAGTAACAGTACTGTTTAAGGCAGGAGATAGAAATAGTATGGGGAACTATCGTCCAATATCCATTCTTCCTATTTTTTCAAAAGCCTTAGAAAAGCTTATGCACTCAAGGATCACAAATTTCTCAGATCATCATAATGTATTAATAGAATCTCAGTTTGGGTTTAGAAAATTTAGGTCTACCGAGTCTGCCCTTTTGCACCAAAAAGAAATTATTTTAGATACTTTAGAAAAAAAGTTAACAACGATTGGCGTTTTCCTTGACTTTAGTAAAGCGTTTGATTGCATCAACCATGGTATACTTTTAGACAAGCTATTTTCGTATGGCTTTCGGGGAGTTTCATTTTCATTGTTAAGGTCATATTTTGAGAACCGTTGCCAATATGTTTCCATAAACGAGCATAGGTCCTCTTTGCTTAACATTAATTGCGGTGTTCCCCAAGGAAGCATTCTAGGTCCCCTTTTATTTCTTTTTTATATAAACGATATAGTTGCTATTGACTCTGATGTAGATTTTATTATTTATGCAGATGATACAAGTATGATCATTTCTGATTCAAATAGTGAACGTCTTATCAGCAAAACAAATAATGTCCTTTCAAAATTAAAAACCTGGTGCATAAACAATTCCCTTCATATAAATGCTAGCAAGAGCAAGGCTATAATATTCCAACTACACTCCAGAACTCAAGCAACCTCATCCTCTCTTCTGAAATATGGCACTGATATTATTCAATATGTTGAAAATGTAAAAACTCTTGGTGTATTTTTTTCTTATAACATGTCTTGGAACGACCATATTAGACACGTTCGCACTAAACTTTCTAGAATAGTGGGTGTGTTAAATAAATATAGAAACATTTTACCCACAAGTGTCAAAATTCAACTTTTTAAATCACTATTCTATCCCATCTTATGCTACGCGCACCTAGTGTGGGGGTCTACCGGCACAACGAACTTAAACTTGCTTCGAATATTGCAAAAAAAAGCTCTACGAGCCATAGCTAATGTCTCTTCAACCTCTCCATCCTTGCCACTGTTTGAGAAGTACTCCATACTTGACGTTTCAAAAATGTATCCACAACGATTAATATTAACATTCCAGTCTGCCATGAAAGGTAAATATGATACTTTTCTCGCTATTGCGGACCTTCATTTGCACGATTCCATTCGTCAAACACGTCAGATACATCCATGGCATATACCACAATCACGAACTAACTTTGGACGTCAAAGAATTAAACATGCACTTCCCGAGCTACTAAATCATATCGCATCATTAGGAATTGATGTTATGTCAGTGGGCAGAAATGATATCTCTTGCATTGTATAATACTTAAAACATACCTTCTATTGTTGTTTTTTTTCTGTGTTAGTGTTGCTTGCCTTGTAGGGGTACCAAAGGGCCGGTCAAGCTGCAAATAGCAGCTTTTTTCCTTTGGTTTTCCCCCATCGTTGATGGAAATAAAGAAATGTTTCAATGTTCAATGTTGTCCATATTAACGAGACGTGACGTATTTCTTTGGCTGAAATTGCAATTCGCGGGACTCGCCACGGAAAGTTTTGAAGAGAAGATATAAAATTAAAGGGGGCTTGGACTTTTCTCTCCACTACACCTTGCAAAATCTTCAAAATGACTTTTGTGGGTGTGTTTGTGTGTGTGTGTGTGGGGGGGGGGGGGGGAGACAATCTTAA